GCTTTTCTCTTCAAACCCTTTTGGCCATGCGATTTTAGCCAGAAAAGACTATAAATGAAGCTTGAAGTCCCTTGCTGCCGCTTATTTTGCCTCTTAAATGATCTCATCTCACGCACTTCTCTATTCCGAGCAAGTCTAGTCTGTTCATCGATAAGAGTATGTCGTTATTATTATGACAATGTTCACTTTGAAGTGCTTAATCGAAATGAGGTTGAAATTGACTACAAAACAGATTGAACGAAAACTCTTAGTAAAACCTGTTAAGCATGTAAATGACATTTTAAATTTTTTTGACACGTGGCAGAAGGTTGGCGCTCCTCCCTGTAAAGCTGAGACCAAATATGGTACAAGGATGGGCAATACTCTTCTTTGAAAAAATGGGTCTAGATAACGGAAAAGTACCGAAATATCTTGCCGCCAGTGGCGGTCGCAGGATTTCGGACCGATGGGGGCGCGACAAAAATTTTTTTTAAATGAAGGTGCGTGGCGTTAGCCACTCCGAAAGAATTTTTGGGGTGCTTCTCTAAATTTTTGCGGGTCCCCAACCCCTAAAATCTGAAAAAAGGGGGCGTGGCTTACGTCACGCCCCCGAAAAAAGTTTTTTATAAAGCTAATTTGAATTTTTAAAAAATTTTGAAAATTATTTCAATTATTTACATAAATAAACAAGTCGTTTGCACATTTTTATAACCCATATAGGTAAGTTTCAAAAATTTCGCGACCCATTCTCGGGGGGGGGGACTGCTTGCCGCCTCAGTTTATAAGCATTTTCTTCCCTCGAAACCAGGCTCTATGTGCTTTTCTGATTTTGGGGGCAGAAATAGGATTCAAAAAGGTAAAGGCGGGCCAAAGTGAATTTATAACAACTTTGGGTAAATTTACCGCCTTCGTCATTTCCGAGTGTGATTATAGAATTCTCAGCATGCTCACTTACCCCCGGATTAGTGCCATCTGAGCCTCGTAGCTTCAGCTTTGAAAAAAAGATGAAATCAATAAAAGTAATGGAAATTCTCAAAAACTATCTTTGCAGTGAGCGTGCTCACATACAACTTTGTGCAATGTCAGCCGTGTAGCTCTAATTTTACAAAGAATAGAAAAATCGACAAAAATAATAGGTTCTTCTAAGAACACTTATTACAATCGTAATCGGCATGCTCGCTTTCTCCCATGTGCCAGATCCCAGTTCCTGGCTTAAACTTTACAAAAAATCGATAAAGCCAGTGAAGGTAAGTGACAAGTTGTAAAATAAGAATGTGCTCGTGAGCAGCATGCTCAATTACCTGCCTGTACCAATCCCCAACGCCATAGTTCAAACATTGCAAAAATCAATTAAACCAATAGAAGTAAGGGGTATTTTCTGAAATGTTATGATATTCGTAATCAGCATGTTCCCTTACCCCCGTATGCCAACTCCCAGTCACGTAGTTCAAAATCTGCAGAAAAATCGATAGAATGATAAAAGTAATGGGTATTTATGAAAATGGTTATCATATTCGTAATCAGCATGCTCGATTACCCCCGCGTGCCAAACCCCAGCCCCGTAGCTTGAACCATGCAAAAAAATCGATAAAATGATAAAAATAACTGATAATTCTAAAAGCTATATTGCATTCGTAATCAGCATGTTCGCTTGTCCTCCTGTGCCAACTCCCAGCCCCGTAGCTTGAACTTTGCCAAAAAATCGATAAAATGATAAAAATAACTGATAATTCTAAAAACGAATACTGTATTCGTAATCAGCATGCTCGATTACCCCCGTGTGCCAACTCCCAGCCCCGTAGCTTGAACTTTGCAAAAAAATCGATAAAATGATAAAAATAACTGATAATTCTAAAAACCAGTATTGTATTCGTAATCAGCATGTTCGCTTACCCTCTCGTGCCAACTCCCAACCCCGTAGTCCAAAATTTGCAAACAAATCGATAAAATGATAAAAGTAATGGGCATTTTTGAAAATGGTTGTCATATTCGTAATCAGCATGCTCGATTACCCCCGTATGCCAACTCCCAGCCCCGTAGCTTGAACTTTGCCAAAAAAATCGATAAAATGATAAAAATAACTGATAATTCTAAAAGCTATATTGCATTCGTAATCAGCATGTTCGCTTGTCCTCCTGTGCCAACTCCCAGCCCCGTAGCTTGAACTTTGCCAAAAAATCGATAAAATGATAAAAATAACTGATAATTCTAAAAACGAATACTGTATTCGTAATCAGCATGCTCGATTACCCCCGTGTGCCAACTCCCAGCCCCGTAGCTTGAACTTTGCAAAAAAATCGATAAAATGATAAAAATAACTGATAATTCTAAAAACCAGTATTGTGTTCGTAATCAGCATGTTCGCTTACCCTCTCGTGCCAACTCCCAACCCCGTAGTCCAAAATTTGCAAACAAATCGATAAAATGATAAAAGTAATGGGCATTTTTGAAAATAGTTGTCATATTCGTAATCAGCATGCTCGATTACCCTCTCGTGCCAACTCCCAACCCCGTAGTCCAAAATTTGCAGACAAATCGATAAAATGATAAAAGTAATGGGCATTTTTGAAAATAGTTGTCATATTCGTAATCAGCATGCTCGATTACCCTCTCGTGCCAACTCCCAACCCCGTAGTCCAAAATTTGCAAACAAATCGATAAAATGATAAAAGTAATGGGCATTTTTGAAAATGGTTGTCATATTCGTAATCAGCATGCTCGATTACCCCCGTATGCCAACTCCCAGCCCCGTAGCTTGAACTTTGCCAAAAAAATCGATAAAATGATAAAAATAACTGATAATTCCAAAAACTAATACTGTATTCGTAGTCAGCATGCTCGATTACCCCCGTATGCCAACTTCCAGCCCCGTAGCATGAACTTTGCAAAAAAATCGATAAAATGATAAAAATGACTGATAATTCCAAAAACTAATACTGTATTCGTAATCAGCATGCTCGATTACCTCCGCGTGCCAAACCCCAGCCCCGTAGCTTGAACTTTGCCAAAAAATCGATAAAATGATAAAAATAACTGATAATTCTAAAAACTAATACTGTATTCGTAATCAGCATGCTCGATTACCCCCGTGTGCCAACTCCCAGCCCCGTAGCTTGAACTTTGCAAAAACGATAAAATGATAAAAATAACTGATAATTCTAAAAACCAGTATTGTATTCGTAATCAGCATGTTCGCTTACCCCCTGTGCCAACTCCCAACCCCGTAGTCCAAAATTTGCAAACAAATCGATAAAATGATAAAAGTAATGGGCATTTTTGAAAATAGTTATCATATTCGTAATCAGCATGCTCGATTACCCCCGTATGCCAACTCCCAACCCCGTAGCTTGAACTTTGCCAAAAAATCGATAAAATGATAAAAATAACTGATAATTCTAAAAACTAATATTGTATTCGTAATCAGCATGCTCGATTACCCCCGTGTGCCAACTCCCAGCCCCGTAGCTTGAACTTTGCAAAAAAATCGATAAAATGATAAAAATAACTAATAATTCTAAGAACTAATACTGTATTCGTAGTCAGCATGCTCGATTACCCCCGTATGCCAACTCCCAACCCCGTAGCTTGAACTTTGCCAAAAAATCGATAAAATGATAAAAATGACTGATAATTCTAAAAACCAGTATTGTATTCGTAATCAGCATGTTCGCTTACCCTCTCGTGCCAACTCCCAACCCCGTAGTCCAAAATTTGCAAACAAATCGATAAAATGATAAAAGTAATGGGCATTTTTGAAAATGGTTGTCATATTCGTAATCAGCATGCTCGATTACCCCCGTATGCCAACTCCCAGCCCCGTAGCTTGAACTTTGCAAAAAAATCGATAAAATGATAAAAATAACTGATAATTCTAAAAACTAATACTGTATTCGTAATCAGCATGCTCGATTACCCCCGTAAGCCAACTCCCAGCCCCGTAGCTTGAACTTTGCCAAAAAATCGATAAAATGATAAAAATAACTGATAATTCTAAAAACCAGTATTGTATTCGTAATCAGCATGTTCGCTTACCCTCTCGTGCCAACTCCCAACCCCGTAGTCCAAAATTTGCAAACAAATCGATAAAATGATAAAAGTAATGGGCATTTTTGAAAATGGTTGTCATATTCGTAATCAGCATGCTCGATTACCCCCGTATGCCAACTCCCAGCCCCGTAGCTTGAACTTTGCAAAAAAATCGATAAAATGATAAAAATAACTGATAATTCTAAAAACTAATACTGTATTCGCAATCAGCATGCTCGATTACCCCCGTGTGCCAACTCCCACCCCGTAGCTTGAACTTTGCCAGAAAATCGATAAAATGATAAAAGTAATGGGCATTTTTGAAAATAGTTATCATATTCGTAATCAGCATGCTCGATTACCCCCGTATGCCAACTTCCAGCCCCGTAGCTTGAACTTTGCCAAAAAATCGATAAAATGATAAAAGTAATGGGCATTTTTGAAAATGGTTATCATATTCGTAATCAGCATGTTCGGTTACCCCCCTGTGCCAACTCCCAGCCCCGCAGTTCAAAATTTGCAAATAATCGATAAATTTGGTAGAAGTAATAACAAGCTTCCATGCTAGAAAGTGACAAACACGAAAACACCATCGAGGACCTACAGACAGCATCAACAAGCATGCTTATCCACCAGCGTACAGACAAGCCACCAGTGTACAGACAAAATCCCATTCGGTTTTATATATATAGAAGGATTTATTTATTAAATACATCGTAAACGATGCACCACGCATCGTTTATGATGTATTTAATAAATAAATAAATAAATAAATAAGTCGATATCGCAGCAATTTAAACATTGATTTTTGCTTTGACCATATAACTTTACAGAGCTTTACTTCCCTCAAATAGTCTCACTCATAAATCAACCTCAGAGCTTTCTTAACTATCAAACTATAATATGCAACCAACTAATTTGTTAAGAAATAGTCATTGCCATAAGTTTCAGTAACAGATTAGTGACATTAACCAGATTTGTTAGCTAGTGAGATCATGACCCGTACACGCGTCCTGAGCGAGAAGGATGTCGTAGTTAAGTTAATCACTACTATAACAAAACCCGCTTTAGTCGCGCTCATTTATGATAACAATCGAGTATCGGCGATATCCGACTTTCGTTCTCGTCAGCGAAAGTTTGATGGTATCTATTCTTATTAGTTGTGACACTTATTCGGATAATCTGTCCTTTTCACGGATAATCATTAAGCAACAATTATGCTTATTCTTCACAGAGAAGTAATAAAGAACTTAGGAAGAGATCCAAGAATGATATTTGGACACTAGCTTTTCAAACTCTTTCATCGCTGTTGCAGGATTTGGTTACCTTTATATTTCATCCCTTCTTTGTTCGCAGAATTGAGCTATATTCAAAGCACTGCCTAAAAGCTCTGTTTTTCTCATAGATCTGGTTTAGATCCAACTAGGACAGATCAGACCATTATCGAAATGTTTATATCCTCATAAAATTCACCACAAGCTTTGATGGCCTAAGGGCGGGATCATTACTTCTATGGTATGGGCGATGCTAAACCACTACCCGCAAAGTCAACAACAAGTTTTTGCCTTCTTATCCATTAAGACCCAATTTTTCTCTCAAACTGCGTGAATTATTGCGAAACTTTAGTTTCGGCTTCAAAAGGTTCTTATTTCAACTTCCAACTTACCCGCGCACGGATCTAATTATAGTTATTAAATGTTTGCTCCAGCTGATAGAGCTATTTTTTGTTGACGTTTCCTCGAATTTTTGCTATTCGACATAATGCGTTCTGCATATGTACGTGTTCCAAAGGTTAGGTATATCTTAACAACGATTTTTCAATTTTTACCAAAAATGCGACTACACCAGACAAAAAGTTTGAAAATGTAGGGAAATCAGCATGCGTGGAAACCTTGCTACAATTTTTTGGATCATGTGCCACATTCCTACCACAATAATCAAAATTGATAAATAATTTGCTCCATACTATGAATTCAAGCTGAAGCCATTCCTACAGAATCGTTCCATGTGGAGAAAGATAGTTATTAATGATCAAGCAGAGGGACATTTTCTAGGGCACTTGTGTGTACAGTATTTGTTATATTATTTATTGCATTATTATTCATTATATTTTGACGTCTGATGATTTCTTTATTATCATAATGCCACTAACTTGCGATTCTCTGCTTCACTGTGTAAAGCCCTCTAAAATTCCCACCAACTACATCCATTATGAAACGGTCTTTAGATGCCCCTAAGTTTTGTTTAGGTGGCCATCTTGTTTCTTTGTGGATAGCTGCGAATCTCTTTTCCTTACATTTCCGCTTTGAGATCCGCAGTACTCAACAATAGTCGAACATGCCGGCAGGCTTGTTCCGGTACTATCTATGCACCGTACTTCTACTTGGATTCGTTCTTTGTGACAACAGTTTGAATCACTCGACTTCACAGCGTACTAAAAGAGGCGGGTTTTGAGTCGACAAATAATGTGATATCTTAGTGCAGGTTTTCTAATTTTCTGAACACTTACTAAACTTCTTTTGCAGCGTATCCGGCACAGTGCATATCAGCTGGAGAAGATGGACCATATTCACTTGCTGGCAACTTATGTTGTGACTCTAGCATTCCTCGAATCATAGATAAACAACTCACTGCCACTGATGGAATTGGAGCAATCAGCCGTGTGAGTTTGTCATATTTCTTCAGTAACTTATGAATCAAACCGCTTTTTGGCTTAGATATTCTTACCTCGAAAGATCTTAAAATTTTGAAGAAGTATCAGTCAAAAACTCATTATTATACAAGCTTTTTCAATGGTATAAATCTGCTATTAGATCTTATTTTTGTACAATTCTTTTCTTTTGGTTTTGACCTCCATCTTAGCAATTCATTACAATTCACTACAATGAGAGCCTTTTTAGCCCTTTTCGCGCAATAAGGTTATTATTCAAAACAGCTTTTCTTTGGCTTTCGAAAGATACACAACAAAACTGTAAAAAACTGTACGTTTTCGTATTTTTTCTAGAAAAAAAAACAATTTTGTAAGTAAAATTCCGATTTGGCGTACTTGTCTCTAAATAGATAATGGAGATTTTAGTATTATACCTGAACATGTAACTGATTTTTTAGACCATCCAAGACCGTATACAATCCCGCTTCAACCGAACCTTTGAAGTTGTGATTTCTGCATCGGATTTCGTGATTAACACCTACTACGCTGGTCCCCAGCAATGCAAATTTGAGACGGACTTGTATTTTGTAGCATTGTACGAGACGCCAGTTCAGGTAATTTAGATAAATTTAGATGTAGGCAATCTTTGTTTTGAATAATCTTAATATTCAAGTACGACTTGTTCGACGCCAACACTGAAACGTTTCTGGCAAGTTTCAATAGTCGAGATCCTCTAGGTTGGAAGCAGGCGCCGCTTGCGCAGTTGGACGAAGGTAATCAACGGACATGCGAAACATAATCTGCATGAATAGCTGTACGAGGTATTAGGCGGTTGAGCAAGTGACATTTCGAGACTAAATCTACTATTTCTCGGAATCTAACGCGGGAACATGAATGAAAATTCGTGGTTGTACTCATGCGCTCATGTAACTACTGATTGTACAAGTGGGAGGAGTATATGATCAGTGGGGGCGGTGGAAAATCAAAGTAACCTCATTTTTCTCGCTGTTCAAGCTCAAATTACAGGGTGGGGCAGAAGTCTGGGAGCCAACTTTCTCAGACAATCGCCGGGGGCAGGCGGGCACCGGAAAAATAAATTGCTGAACTCTCGCACCCCGCTTGCGGATTTTTTGGAAAGCAATCAGGACTTTTCGGAAGACCGCTTGCTGTGTTCTCGATTCCTCAGAGATTCAGCAATATATCTGCAAAAGATAAGAGCGAAAAAAATTCAACAGGAGGTCTCTCAAAAATCCGCTGACTCAGCAAGCGGTATTCCGAAAAGTCCTGATTGCTTTGCAAAAAATCCGCGAGCGGAGTGCGAGAGATCAGCAATCTATTTTTCCGGTGCCCGCCTGCCCCCGGCGATTGTCTGAGTTTGTAGTGCTGTAAATTAAGAAATGACGATTTTGACTCCAAATTTGTGCCACATGTTGTTGCGATCATTCTCTACAAATCGCCACACTTTGACTGGCTGAAAATGCTTGCCCTATTATTTTGTAGGAGTTGGACTTATCAAACAAGTGCTCTGCAGAACGAGAAAATCGAAATTTTTAGTCTTCACAACTTATTTCATAGCTAAGCATACAGTTGATATTCTAGAACACTTCGATGCATACAATCTAGAGGAGACTTTGCGCTATCATTTCGTAGTCGTTGCGTTTCTCAATTACTATTCTTTCAAAACGCAAAATAAAAATTTGCGAATACTACCTGCGTGCCAATGGCCATTTTTCTTCAAAATAAATTTGAAAACTATAGGAGCACAGCAGGCACTGAATCTTAAGCTATATTCTTCCCATGAGTCTTCTATGCAAGTATGTGCTTGAGTTCGATCAATCAAGCAATTTCAATGCTTTTCAAATCACGATTCTTCGCTCCCGTTCGCGCAATCGCATCCTGATTTCCAGTATGCGAGTACACTTGCCTTCAATTAAAATTCCAAAATTTTTTTCCTGAACGCTGCAAAAAAAAGTTCTTTCGCGGCACGTTGTAGCGAAAGCTTAGTCTATCCCACGCATATTTGCCTGATGAAAGAAACAGTTTCCGTGTAGGCGTGGGACGAATTTCATCACGACTGTCTGCGTGCCACGACAGGCGGACTCGCCAAGATTTTGAAGGGCTGCTTTGAAGCCAGAAGAAGCAATCTCAAAATTTGAGAGCAGCGCTGTATTTGTAAAGGTTCGATTTGTGTGCACCGAATTTTTTGTTCCTGGGCACTTTCCTTCTGATTTTATCTGAAAAAGTGCTAGGCTCCCAGACTTTTGCCCCACCCTGTACATGCAGCCCATGTATTTGCCTACAAATCTCGTCGGAGTGTCATAGATTTATGAAAATTGGAGTTCTGAATTAGCTCAAAATTCAATGTTTTCGTCTCGCTTACCATATCTCGTAAGGCTTGGTTTTCTCTATCCAACGGTGTGCAGCATGTTGCACATAGTACACACTTCGAAGCACAACCTCTATCGAAATATATCCGAATTTCCCGACTTAGTAATTAGTAACTCAAATTAATTTGAATCTCATTTGAGGTCGTTGATTTTTACTAAAAGCCCTTTTCAAAAGCGATCGTGCCATGCAGCGGCACCAACTATCAGGTTTTCGGGAAACCAATGTCCGTTTTCAATTGACGACCTTAATAAGTCATACACTTCTCATTTCTAAATAGGCTTCAAAGCAACATTCGATAGAGCAAAGAAACCCTACAAGACGGCAATTTTGTTATTACACCAGCTCTGATCCACCTCGAGTTTCAAGCCAAAAAGTAAGAAGATTCAACCATCCGAAAAATAGAGAAAAATCGTAACTTACAATCGTTAGTCCATACAAAGCTTACACAAATTCTACCCTGCTCACTATACACTATTATAATAATTAGAAACCAAAAAAAGTGGAAATTTTCATGATTTTGCCAAAGTGATGCGGTGCTGTCTCCACATAAATAATTGTATACCACAAACCTGTAGAAGAATAAGCGTAAAATTGCTCCCTACAAGCTTTAGTTTTCGAGAAACACCAAATATCGCTTCCCTAATCGGGTGATCCACGCAAATATTCAAGTTTTTCGAAAACTAGAGTTTGTGGAGAGCTGAAAATTTATGTTTAGACTTTTACAGGTTAGTATTAGGTTGGTGCAAAAGTAATGCGCGTTTTGCGAGTTTTCACTTTGACGTGCTACAACTTTCTAAGAAATATATTTTCTACGGTAAGGACCACAAGCATCAAACCATTCTCAATACAGCGCACATTCTATGCTCGTATCACAAACGGGCACAAGAATATGGATTGATAAGCAAACAAACTTTTTTTGGATCGTGTTTAACTGACCATAACTCACTTCAAAATTTGTTAGTTCTGATAATGAGTAGCCTGTCTTGTAGCCGCAAGTCAATGGTACCAAAAAAGTTGGAAGGGGCTCAAACACAGTAGATTCGCGAGAAGGGAAAAAACATAATTCAAAATTGTTCTCTTTTTTCGTCATTTTTTCGTAGAAGTCAAAATCCCAAAAAGTGGAGAGTTTTGATTTTCTGCATACTGAACAGCTAACAGAATTCTGCAAAAACTGTCAACAGGAGGCCCACCCTTACGCTTTCGCAAATGAGCATGGCCTTGGCGATTACCAGGGTCGAGCGTGGGGTGTGGCACGCCACACCTGGGGGGTCGTATTAAGGAATCAAAAGGGGAGAGGGGTCGTAGTTGTGTAAACTGATAATAGTGATAACATGATATTCGTACCATATCCATAATGAGCATGTCAATTAACCCCCTGTAGACAAAGTTTGAGCGAATTCTGAAGATTCAAGATACTAGGCTACCTAAGTGAAAGTGGTCATTTTCCAACATGGTTAACTTTGTTTCAAAGGTGAATTAGCTATCCGTTTTTGGAATCAAGACAAAGCGCCACTCCATCTTTGTCCATCTCAGAAATCCGCTTCAAAAGACCTTCAAACTGTGGATCTAGAAGCCAACCAAAATCTCATTTTTCCCATTTTTCGCTTATAATGGCTGTGATTTCACCAAAAATTACTTGGAGCAAAAAAAAACGATCAGGCTCAAATCAATCCTGTGAAAACTAGGAGATCTTGGCTATCGATCCATATAAATATGGTTTGCTAAAAAGGTTTTATGACATAGTTAATGGGGTGTGGCACATCCCCTTAAAAGCTGTGGCTGAGCTCCTGCTCTTTGCGTCTGTACCTGAATTGTTCGTTAATGTTCACAAATCAAAGAGATAGAAGCTCAAAACCAACATCACTCAAAAATTGAATTTTTCGTGTAGGGTCATAAAAAATCGGAAACTTGCAACAAAAAGTGGAGCAATCGATATTGTAGGTTCTTTCACCACTTCTCTCTAACTGTGCAAAATTTGCGCCGATTGAGTGTCTCTATGAAAAGTTATGATTTTTGAGCAAGCAATACAAAAGGCGAATTTGATTTATTTTGGCATTTTTCAGGAAAATCGTAACTTTTCATAGAGACGCTTAATCGGCGCAAACTTTGCAGTATTAGAAAGAGCTGGTGAAAGAACCTACAATATCGACTGCTCCGATTTTTGTTGCAAGTTTCCGATTTTTTATTATCCTACACGAAAAATTCAAATTTTGAGTGATTTTGGTGTTGAGCTTCTTTCTCCTTCATTTGCAGACATTAACGAACATTTCAGGCACTGATGCAAAGAGCATGAGTTTCTCTCTTAAGCAAAATTTTGATCGTACGAATTCGTTGAGAAGTCAACGAGTTATGAATTTTTGAAAATGTTGCAGACGAACTTTCGGCACAACCTAATAAAAAGTCTTGCAAGCAAGGAGTCTACCAGCTCTAGGATCCACGTTTCTGATACCGTCACCAGAATATACAATGCAATATTTTAAGGAACATGATTTCAAGCACTAGTAGCTTTGCAGACTGCTCAGGGTGTGCCTTCCTGTTGATTATAAACAGTTGCGGCAGGTGAAAGAAAAAAGTGGATGAACAGAAGATTTACCACTTATCATTTTTTTTAATAAATGATGTTTTTATAGATCATCTTGAAGCCACTGCACTCGCACCACCTACGAATACTGCCAGACCCACCCGCTCGAGCCATTTTAACTCAACTTTAACCTATTCTCCTGCGTTCAGACTGCCAGAAGCAGCCTTCCCCGGCTGCTGGCGGGAGAGCTTTTTGCCTGACCCTAATGTTCCGTACTTATTCTCCAGCGAGGAATGCTGCGATGCTCATTTGGACGGCTTGATGAGAGAAGTAGCGCTGCGTTTTGAAAATGCTCCTCATCTGGGAGACACTGCCAAGGTTGGTTTGCTTGTTTGGAATGTTCGAGAAGGTTCTAATGTGTTAGGGTCCTTTACGAAGTAGGTGTTGGTCCAATCACATAATACATTTTTGCAGATTATCCAAAGGCGACTACAACTGGTATACAAAAAATCATTCGAAGTTATTATGAGCAAAGCAAATTTCGCAATCTCAAGCTATTATCAAGGACACAGCAGTTGCAAAGTCCATGAAGGAGGATATTATTACCTGGCTTATCAAACACCCGTTCAGGTGAGCTTTGATTTCTGGCCATTTGTTTCAGCACAACTTGCACTAGAAGTGATCCTACAAAGCCAATAAACGTTCTTTTATGATGAACAACTTGGAAGAACTCTTGTCATTTTCACCCAGCTATTTGCCTTTCTTAACTGAGCAGGTCAATGCTTATATACTGACCAAAAAATGACTTCAAACTTTAGTCCTCGTTTTTTTTCGAACGGACTAATAAGCGCCTTTGCGTACGGTATGGGGCACAGTGCAGGCTAGAGCAACTGCCCTTGAGAAATGAAACATAGATCTTCTGGATTGGGCATCGGCTTGAAGAAGACATCTCAGTCAGTTTGCAGGTAAACCAGGTATCCAGATTTGTCGAGGATACAGCTTTTTGTGAATTACTCCAATGCGCCTGCAAACACTCAGGTCTTCTATTGCATCAGCCATCGAGTCTTCATAAAATATTCAGAACTTCGGATCTGGGGCAAAACTATGTAGTAATTTTAACTGATTCAAATCCAACTCGGATCTTCAAATATTAGAAAAATTGCATGAAGACACGGTAAATTCATGAGAACTTCCCGAGGGCTGGAGGGGAGACTTTGGGTCATCTCGGAAAGTTTCCGCAAAGCCCTCGAGAAGTTTAGCAGAATCGTTTGTCTTCGGGAAGTTCCCGTGAATCATCTGAGAAAGATGAGCACTTTTTAGGGTTTTGACAATTGGAAATGTTCACTTTTCTAGTATCCCCGAAAACATATTTTTATCTGCCCTTCGCCTTCGCTACACTTTCTTTTTCAACTGCTCTTTAAAAATGGTGACGATTTAACTTTCTTGGGGTTTCATACATCATTTTTGATTATCTTCCACCATCGGACAGTAAAATAAACGCAGAATAGAGGAATTGGATACCATAGCTTTTCTGTACAATAAAAATTACAGTATGATATCTTCGATCATGTGCGAGAGAATTATCTGGCGAGCATTGATGCCGAAGAGCCCCTAGGAGGTTTGAAGTCATAGAATGTGGTAATTACCTTCTCAATATGCAGTGATTTAGCTATAAAACCTGCAAACACAAGGGGAGAACTTCCAGACGTAAGAATGGAGCCGTCTGCAGGAGGTGAGACAACTTTAGTCGTTTACGACAACCTTTTGTGAAAAAAAATCATATAACATTATATGCAGACGATCTCTCTATCCAACCAGATGTGCACGAAGCACGAGCATTACTTTACGAATCAGGTATTAATATAAGCGTTCTGTCAAAGTCCTCCTTAACAGATATAACAATTTGCAGCCGGTGCGGATGAAAAGACTGCAAATCGAGTGCTAAATGCACTGGAGCTAAACGACAACGCCTTCGAAGAAGAAGACGATTTCGCAACGGCTACCAGCATTGGTGGCTTCCATGTCGGAGGCAATAGAAGTTTCGGAGATGTTATGTCGTGGGATAAGAGGAGACTACCTTTCGGAACTCATTGCAACAAAAAGGACCGCACAGGTAAGATCTAATCGCTTAGGTTGCATTCAAAGTTGCCGTGCCACAGCCTTTCCAGCGCCGCTCCGGCTCCGTGCCAGGATTGTGCCGGCGAAGGGTCGATCCAGCACGCTCCCCGTGTAAGTGTTTCGACACGGCACAAGAACGGGCTGGCACGTCGCTAGAACAGGCTGGCACGGCGCTGTCGCAATCTGAACGCGTTCTTAGATGGTTGTGTAAAAAAGTGAAAATTTTGCAGGAGACAAATGCTGCAGTGGCGCGCTTTTCGAAACGATGTCAGATGCCTTCTATGAGCTGAGCAGTTCACCTAAATTCGCAACCACAAGTGCTGGGAACATCGCTAGTGTATGTTCACATCTTACTGTTGAGACCACACCATCCTTAAAAAGTAGAGTGATGGGGAACGAGAGGATAGAATCAATAGTATGCTATAAATTGCTCTCGGGGATATCATTCATTTTCTGACTAAAGGGCCAGGCATACTTCACGCGATTTCAGTCGCGACGCAATTTGGCAATATTCCAATCATTTCATATAAAAGAATCGTAATGTGGAAAAATGCATTTTTTGCAGAGAAGGACTTTCAAGCAGTCGGTAGTCCTTTGAAGGACGGCTGCGGGACACCGGTGTGCGTGTTTGCACGGGTCCTTTAATTTTTTGAGGCATTGTAGCATTCACGTCGTGGATTCGTATTCTTCTTCGATCGTCTTGTAAGTCTCTTGTGTGTTCTTCTCGGATAAGTTGCTACGTTTGGGGATTTTGGGAATGTTCATTTTCACGATCATCGCATTTCGTCAGATATGCTTTCCTGTCTTCGGCTGCCATGAAAGCCTCACATCCCCACTTAGTAGACCTTTAACCACGTTTGACTGGAATGTCATGGATGTTTGTCTCTTCTCCCAGCTTTATTCGCTTAAAATGGCATCTCCACTGACGACAACTACACGTGAGAGTTGCCTCACTTTTGGCCCATTTTTCGTCCCTTTTTTGAAAAAATCTCAAGATTTCAACAGCATTTTCGTTTAAGAGCTTGATTTCCTTTTCCCGTTGGTATCATTTTCAAAAGTCTGTCTTCAATAATCGCTGAGTTATGAGGATTCAAACTGTCCGCCAAGGCTTTGACATAGAGTCGCTGTGGATCCTAACTGTGGCAGCAAGCACACCGTAGTGCAGAGAAGGATATTCGCATGTGGCGGCTTTCTGTTTGGGGCGTAAGCCTGCCAACTTTGCAAGGAGATTTTTCGCTTTTGGTCTAACGCCACCTCACATGCTTTTAAGAGGGAGAAAAATAAGTTAAAGTACCGTGGCTGTCGGATTCTCGAAAATTATTGAAGCAACATTGTCAAGGCAACATAGCTACATTTTTGGGAAAGAGGAGGACAGTTTGCACATTACTGCGGCTTTTCTGGGAAAAAATGGTTTTGTGGAGGTTCTCCAGGAATCTGAATGGGGGAGACTTATGACATTCATAAAAGAAAACTATGCAAGAAATGGCTGAATTAATTTGTAACTTTTTGTTTCTACTTGCCTAAATACGGGGATTTATTAATGAAATGTCTAAAATGGAGAGAGTCTGGACATTCGGAGAAGCCATGTCAAAAAATAGTGTGGTCCTAAACACATCACAGTACATGGTGAATGAAAAGCATGGACTCACGCTTGTGTCTGCTGTTTTCGTCAAGAAATAATATAAACAACTAGGGTTAATTATTATTGCGGAGACATTCTAATATGCAGTCAAGAAAATGTGCTTCTGTGCATGCAAATATACGGGCTCCAAAAGCTTATTTTCTGATTTAACTTGTTCGGAAAATGCTATGTTGAGGATACGATGCGTTCCAGCAGTTTTCCTAATCCGAAAAAATTGTAATGAATGCAGTTATGTGGAGAATAGTCTAAGTAACACGACCATGTCTTAACATCATTACTACCTCTAACCTAAAGCAGATTACACTGCTCTGAAAACGGTGCTGACTCGAGCCGCACTGCTGGTTAAACAGAATCTCATTAAGAAGCTTTACTAGCATTAAAATGGGCTTTTATGCGATTTTCACTTCTGGTATAGAGGCCATTTATGACCCAGCGGGCGTACTAGAACCATAAAGATGTTTTAAAAAGATACAACATATATTGTAACACCCTGCTTTTACTTTTCTACTACTTTCGGCCACCCTGTAAAGCAAAGACTTAGGAGAAGGGACAAGTTCCACCCATATAACATAACATCACCTCCGCGGGCTACCGGATTTTACAGGTGTGTGACTGTGCGGCTGTCGTAAATATTGAGGGATTATCCTTCCTATGTAAGTCAGACAGGCTTTGACATACAAAATCGAAAGTGGCTTCAATAATTTACCTCTTTTAAAACCTTCTTGGAACATGTTGTTAATTTTTGAGAAGATACAAGCTTTGGTCTACAATATGTAATATCCTGTGTCCATCAAAATACTCTTGAGTCCGGTTTCAAACCTAAAGCTTGCATGGCAATTATGGTAGGCCTTTGAGGTGATTTTGCGCCTAGGAGTCATTGGGCCGCTAGTTGTTCATAACTCACTGCAAGCACATTCTGAATATACAGAGGATAGGGCATTTTATCAACCCACGTAAGTTACACACACTATGCATGTGCAGTTTAGTAGTGTTGGATCTGAAGATTTCTGGCGATTGCCAAATAGCGCCGCGACTGAAATCGCGTGAAGTATATACATCCGGCCCTCAGGAGACATGTGCACGCTTTGCTTACGTCTGATACAAGTTCATGAGCGCGTCCGAACGCGTTTTGGCTGATTACTATCAGATTTCGTGAAAGAACATGTTCGAGCTCGCGTTGTTCAACGAGCTCGAACATGTTCTTTCACAAATTCTTATAGTAAATCATTCAAACGCGTAAAACACGCTCATGAACTTGTAAAAGTACGCAACGCGTGCTCGTGTCTAGTTGTTTTCATAAGCAGAATGACAAAATTTGCCTTTTTATACTTGAATCTGACTGTTGATATTTCAGCTCATTCAAAAAAGGGCTCAACTTCGCTTCAAACAATCGTTCGAGGTGATTGTGTCTACCAGCAACTTTTCAATCGCTTCCTATGGCTTTGGCGATCAAACTTGCAAGTACAAAGAGAGAGGCTTCACAGTAATCGCTTATGCAACTCCCATACAGGTACATGCAATGTAGTTTAGATTGTATAAGATTGGTTTGAAAGTCCTGCACCTGCTTTTTAACTTGCAGATCCTCTATTTCTCCAATTAAAGTACACTTTATAATTTGACAAACTCTGGGAAAAGAAAACTATGCAAATCTAGCACAATGCACTCATACTAGGGTGTCTCATAATTTTTTTTACCGTTTTTACTAAAACCGTTGTCTTTTTGTTTTTTTCCTTTAACTGATGTGTCTTGAGTAATCATTGGACAGAGCAAAGCAAATTCTACAAGATGGCTATCAAGAGTCTGCACAAATCGTATCCCCACGTGAAGTTTTGAGCTAAAATCTGATAGCAATCAAAAACGAACTTTCCCTCCAAAAATCTTATCTCAGCCCTGAAAAGTCTAAAAAATCCAAGATTTATTCTACTATATGCTTGACAAAGCTTGCTTGAACAATCAGTACACTTTCCGTATTTTTTTCCGAGGCTAGAAATAAAGAAAAAAATGAATGGGGTAAAATGGCAAACTCCGTTCAAATGTCCTGAGCTCCTCCCACGCACGTAATCATATAGCTCATACATTAGAAAGTACTATAATGTATTTGTACCCTTTGTAGGTGCTCCAGTTCTCGGGAAAGGCTAAGGTTTAAGGTAAAAACAGTTAAAACAAACTGTGAGACACCCTAATACAATTGATAAAGACAATCAATAAAGTTTTTGTTTCTGGTTTACTCCCGAAGAGTATGATGCATGCAAAATGCAGCATGAAATGCAAAATGCACTTGGAAATTCACTGCTTTTGAGTTACTGTGAGATGTCACCTGTCTCAAATAATCAATTTCTGGAAAGTACAACAAAAAGTCGTGCTTACCTACATTGATATTTCTATATTCGTTGAACTAAGAGATTAGCTATTGTTATATTGAAATTGTTGGAGATTATAAGTTCAAAAAAGGCGCAGAACTTTCGGACCAACTCAGAATATAGCACAACTGTACTAGTATATCAACTACTTGAATAGCTGCATTTTTTAGTACGACATTAGCGACAAGGAAGCTGAAGAGTACTATGCCTCAGTATCGTCGCAGGACGAACTTGGCGCAACGCAGCCGTCACTTCCTGGCCAGCGACCATTCCATACCCTTCTTCGCACCTATGATAGAGGTGATCGTGAAGGTTTTCCGGTTGGATCACACTGTGGCGCAGAACGAGCAGGTCTGTCTTTATATTTTAGGTTTGGATTCGCGATGGGGTGATGAGTTTTTGAAAGTGGTTTGCACAAATGGAAGGATGGTGTGGAATATTAGGGTGTCTTATGCTTTTTTTAGCGTTTTTACCTTAAACATCGGCATTTCTCTAGAACTGTGCACCTTCAATGTTCAAATACATGGTCGTACTTCTGTATGTATGAGCTATATGATAACGTGCATGGGAGGAGCTCAGGATGTCTAGGGGCGGAGTGTGCCATTTTATCCCATTCATTTTTTTTCTTTATTTTTAGCCATAGAAAAAATACAGAAATGGTAATTGAATGTGCGATGTCAAGCATACGCTAGGACAAAGGGGGAATTTTTAAGACATTTTGGGACGGAGATACGATTTTTGAAGGAAAAGTTTATTTTCGATTGCTATCAGATTTCAGCTCAAAACTCCCGGTGAAATGCGATTTGGGCGTATTCTACATAGCCATCTTGTAGAGCTTGTTTTGCCCCTGGAATGATTACTCAAGCCACATAAATTGAAGAAAAAATACAAAAAGGCGACGGTTACAGTAAAAACGGTAAAAAATTATGGGACACCCTAATATTTACTTAGTGGTAAATTTGTAGCAATTTTTTATCGGACAAAACTTCAAAGCTTTGAATTTTTTGGTGGAGACTGAGACTCTTTGATACTATGAATCTTGTCTAGATAATCCGTGAAAAAAGTTCAAAATAACGCTTAAATAAGGGAGATACCAACTCAAGTTGGCGATTGAAGACGAAATTTACAATACTAGAACTCTTCCGCTGGTCTTGGACCTGCTTTCGTGCGAACAACTCGCCGAAAGGAGTTACGAGCGTTTGGATGTCCAAATTTGCCAAGCTTCAAGTGCTATAAAATTTGCGGAAAGCTCCACAAAAATATCTGAAAGTGGATCGATTTTATCAAGTATATTGACTACAAGGAAGGAGCACAGCTAGTGGAACTCCTCATTGGTTTTTCGTTAAGCTTTTTGCTAACTTCGCCATTTGAAGTTTCAGAAATTTGTACATCTAAGCGCTCATATCATCTTTCGAGAGTTCCTCCGCAAAAATGAAAGCAGATTTGAAATCAGCGTCCGAGTGCGCGTTCAGTGATATACATGTCGTTTTCAACCGCCAAGTAGTCGGTATTCCCTCATAAGTCAATCAATACAATTTTTTCTCATATCTGAGATATGGTATTTTATCAGAATTGAACACGAAATTGAAAATTTATCAGAACACGCTTAACTTCAGCTTCTGAAATTAAGTTGTGATACGGATCATTAATCTAATACAAGTTTGAAGAAATAAATCACGCTTATCCTCTTTACCCAAAAATTCTTTGTGATCGCCACTAAATCGAAGAGGTACAGAACGTGGAAGTCACTATTTAGGCTCAAGATGCTGTAGCCTCGATCTTTTCACCAGCATGCAGAGATCGTACAATGAACTGATCAGAAGAGATGATTTTGATCCATATGACCTGAGAAGAATCGCACGGGTACTATAAATACCATCAACTTTTGAAATACATTTTAATTTGGTATTTGAAGGCTCTTCAATACAATGCCGAGGGGGATTTAGGCCACAGCGTCGAAGTTATCGTTTCTACGGATGATTTTGCCATTTCGAGTGCCTATTCAGGCGATAATACTTGCAAATATAGAGTGGATCGTTACTACCTGATGACTTACGCATCTCCAAAGCAGGTTAGTTTCCAAGCACGACTCACATCTTAAATTCGTACTGGTTCAGTATCCGCTTTATACGGATATTCATGAAGACTCCGGGCCAGCTGTTTTTTTGGATTGTCCGCAAACACTGGAAGAATTGGACGGTAAGCGGTCAGAAAGACTGATCACTAGGTCTCTAAACGCCTCTCTTGTCCTCAATTTCTCATAAAAACCGAGCATTTCCTTTGTTTTGTAAAATAGAATGCATTCCTTCATCACACTGCATCTCGCCCTTTGAATAATAACCTCCGTAGTTTCCTTCTACACTAGCCTTCGTTGTGCTCATGCCCTTTACGCTTATTACCCTTTTCGTATTCATTAGGTAGTGACATAAGTTGTTACACTTTTTCATTCCCCTTCGAAAACCTCTAAAAAGCTGAGCAAAATTCAATATCTGAACATATGAGGAGAGGGAAACTATTTGTAGGCACCATTTTCACCTTTCGGATATGGGTCACAGTAATTACCAAAACAATCTTGTGGAGGCTCAACCTTTATTATATTCTTTTCTTGAATCTCTTATTCTTACTTTTCAAGCTTTTTTCTATGTTCTGGGAACACTTGTACCAATATGAAGACAGTTTGGGAGCTTAGGCACTTCAATAACTCGATCTGAAAGTTTACCAAAAATAATTTGCAAAATTAAAGAAATTCAAAAAAATGATTCCTTATAAGTGTCATATATATATATATATATATATATATATATATATAAAGAAGTTGCGAGTGCAGTTGCAGTTGCAGTTGAAGAACCCTACATAATTTTGGGAGGAAACAATCTTTTGAGAAAATTATGAAAGTTTTTTCTTCAAGTGCACAAAACTTATCTACAAATAATTATTAACTTTTTCAAGACAGAATTGTTTCAGGCGAAGTCTGTTGCGATGGAACTCTGCAGTACGAAATAACACATGCTATAGCTGAAGCTAAACAGAATCGCTCAAGAGCAAACCCGCGGGCAATGACCGCGGTGAGACTTTCTATTCAATGTTTATTCTCCAAGGATGTGAACTATGTAGTTGGTAGCTGATACTGGCAAGAGAGAGTTAAGTCCTTTGCATGGCGGGATTAACAAAGGATTTTACAGCATGTAGTGAATAGTCAGATACATTGCTTTATCGCTCATTTTCGGTTTCTTTTTCACTGAAGCATTAGCGCTTTCTTGAGTAGATCTATTGCAGGTTTGCGAATAGATAAGAAGTGAAAAATCGCTCTTGGTCCGTCATTGGTTTCCGATTCCATAGATTTTTCTGGTTTCCTTGAAAAGCTCACAAAGTCACCGAACTGTACCGAACTTAACCGAAATCCGCGTCGTATCGCCATGTATTGGTTCGGAGTGAACAGATTCTGCATCCAGAAAAATCGTTCAACTCAGCTCGATGATATAGGCTGGGGTGGAGGACTATATGACGCCGAAAAAGGGCGGTCCCCGCTGTCATTTGCGACAAATACGCACCCTCGTACATGCGCTGACATGCGTTCCTGCAGGGAATCCGCGCGGGACTCTTCCAAATTCGGCGACATATAGTCCTCCACCCTATAGGCTGTTGCATGACGAAGGCGCAATATCGACGGGCGCGAACGCGGCTTTATTAGCCGCAGAGCGCATGAAGCGCAGAATGCAAGTGAGGATACGCGCGCGTTGCGTTCGCACCCGCTCAACTAATACCGCTTCTGCGCCTTCGTCATGCAGTAGGCTTTACGTATTTTTGTTATGTAGAGGTGCCCGATGTGAAATGTATGTCAAGAAGCTCGATTTTTTTGCTGGACATCAAACTTCACATAATTAGTGTTTTATAATGTTAGAAGCAATCTAAGATTTCACAGCGATGTATCTGTAGGCATTTGGGTTTAATGTTATGGCCTCAAAAATTTCAATGTAAATGGAGAAGGTCAAAAAGCAATGAGTTCGCAAGCAACGCTAAATAAAATATTTCGGTCAATTTTTCGGCAAAAACCGCAAAAATCAGAAGGATATAACTTCGAACGGCTAGTGGGCCTTTTCACTTTGTCTGGTATTTTGGAGAGTACATAGCGCTGAACTGGAATTTTGATTTGGTACCCAGAGAAATCTCCTAACTTTGACCGTCTCCCACCTTCAATTAGGATAGGTGCACGGTGGGCGGTGATCATTCATAAATCTTTCTAGATTTTGCTTACTGTAGGTTACCTGCGCTTATTTGCTTATTAGCTAGAATGTTACGTAGGTTAGCTTGGGCGGACAATAGTCCGAAGGCACCGTAACAAACCACCCGCTTACCTTGTAATTCACGTTGTGCTAGATATATAATTAATCTTGAGTCACCTGTGGCAGACATATGCTTTGTCAAAAAAGCTTAGTTTGGATTCATCCTGGTTTTCGTCTTGCCATGATGTGCTTTTCATTTTGTAGGCTGTTTCCGGAAGAGTCCAGAAACGATTTGGCACGACTTTCGAAACCGTCGTTTCAAAGTCGGACTTCACTTGGCGAACTCATCGCTATAGTCGGCACACATGCAAAATCGACTCTCAAGGTTATCATGCGTTGGCATATGAGACCAACAAAGCGGTGAGCGATCTATAGGATTTGAGAGCATAATTTCTATATGTATGGTTGTGGTATTTTCAGCCCCGACCACAATCCGAATTGAATACAGTGAGTAACAGTATTCTTAGTGAATGGGTCATATCGAGTCGTTCCGAAAATAATGTCCTTTTTTTAACGATTGTAACATCCCGGAGAACAAGGATCTCCGAAAGCTTTTGGGCGCGTTCAATGCAACTTTTCATCTTCTGTGAGGATGATCTCCTCACACTTATCCAGCATTCTCTCAGAAAATGACCAAAAATTACAAACTATGGTTTTTGCCATGGTCAAGGTCCGCTAATTTACTAAATTTTGTATCGACGCCACAAAGCAATCAAGTATCCAATCAACAGAGCTAACTCTACAGGACACAAAACTCTTCTTCTTATCATAGCTTGCTATTTAAGATTTTTCAAATCATTTTGAACTATCAAATTCATATTTGGTCAACTCAAACCTCGTGGAACATCAACCGGCAGCAGCTCGGGTGTTATTCGATGTAGCCTTTTCCCCTCTTGCTAAAAAAAGTTTTTGGTTTCCAATTCGTGAAGCCTTTGGGACAAAATCATTATAATTTATGTTTTTGAAAACGCTAGATGTGATATTTCGAATCCGCGAACGCTCATTTGCATTGTTGGATCGATGCTAATTCATAATCTTTTGAGAAGCTTAAGATTTCAAATATTTATCTTTTTTTGATGAGTTTGTTGCCTGAGACGGGCTTACTAAGTTTTAGAGGCCAATCATTTGTCCATCAGTAGAATTATGACGATTTACAGAAAGAAAAAAAGGCTAGGGGTTGCTCTTTCCATCGGTTACTTGGTAACTATGCAAATGGTAGAGAAATTTAGAAAATTGAAAAAACTCAAAACTTAACCTTGGCAAAAACTATGGGCTGTAGTTTTTGGTTGATTTCTGAGCGCTCGCTGGCTTAGGCTGTAATGGGAAGACCAGAGTTTGCAGAGGATGAAAAGGTGTCTTGTTGTGCGAGATGTTGCGATCGTTTTAAAGAAAGCGACATTACTTTTGAAACTACTCAAGATTCGCTACTTCAGAGATACGTAGAACCAGAAGGCGATGGAGGCGAGCAAGCTTTTGAAAAGGAATCTCAGCCGTCGTTACGCAAGGGCAAGGGCAGGGCAAAAGCTTACCAAGCCAATATACTTGGTGCTAATCTTCCTGTACTGGTAACACAACAATATGCAGTTGATGTTGTTGAACAAAATTACGAAGTTACCTATCCCGTTCTGCAATACGGTAAGTTTAGTCCATCTTGAAATAGAGAAGAGATTCAACTAATCATTTAGACTACTGCTTTTCAACGGATACTTGGGTGACCACACCTGAAGGGAAAAAGCGCATGGATGAATTGCAAGTTGGCGATTATGTTCTGACAGCAAATTTAACAGCAGTGAGATTTATTGTAGAATTAAAGTTCTTAGTCTTTCCTGTTAAGTGCATTACATTATGAAGTTTCGCCGCCTCAAAACACTCATCGGAGCTTCCGCAGGACAGGCAAAATTTACGACGGTTCCGCAGGATTTTGTTTATCATCGCAAAATGTGCAGGATTTTCATGTCAGACTGGTTAGAAGCGGAAACTTCCGCAGGACTTGTTACAAAGCGCTGCGGAACTTTCAGAATGCCAGCGGTTCCGCAGCACTTTGAATGCCAGCATCCGCAGGTTTTTGAATGTGCTGTCTCTTACGATGTTGCCTCGCCAACTACTAGAGTGTATTGTCGAGCATGTCATCCGTAGTGCAGAGGATAGTGGTCTCATCAACAAAGCAAAGCTCAAATCTCGCTTAGGTCTAACTTTTGCACCACGTTTACGGAACTTCCGCATGTGAACCGGCGGTACTTTCCCAAACGTTCTGCGGAAATTCGGTCAATTGTTTGAGATTTTATATAAGTCTGAATTGATTTCGTGATGGTATAAGGTGATAGTTTCAAAGCAAAAAACCTATGCAAATGATAATCGTAAAAATTGTAATAGAAGAATGCGGTAGAATAATAACAAAGTCTTAATTCATTGTCAAACAAGTCATTTTCAGAAAAACTATAATTATCGCAAAAACCCTGTAGTTTAGTAAATTTGGTTCTGGTTCGTTATGCATAGTGTGGATGCGATTCTCCGCTTAACTCCCTCCCCAAAAGAGTTGCAAAATCTTTGCACATACAGGTGATAAAAGCCCACATTACTTCTTATTTCAGTTGGGATATTTTTTTCACTGAACTTTATAAACTCACGGAATCTAGGCTTTCCATGTTAGGAAAGGTGTCTCCTCACGTTGCGTCATACATAATTTCGGTGTACTCGTTTTCTTCGGTACTTTTCCGTTATCCGGACCCATTTCTTGGAAAAGCTCTTATAATACAAGTTCTTCAGCCTAAAAATAATTTTTCATAGAATCTTCGAGGACTGCCTCCTTGCCACGTGTCACGAAAAAATTGACACGTTTTGGTCCATTTTGACATGTTTTTTCGAAATTATTTCCGGTGAAATAAAAGAGAAGTTGTGATAATTTTAAAGTTACTTAACTGTTTTACATAAGCGCAAAACAACCATGAGCTTATTCTAGAACATCTTGCTTGCTTTCAGCAGTGATATAAAAATGTACTTCTCTTCAACCTTTTTCGCCGCGCGAATTTAGTCGAAGAAACTATAAATGATAGCTTGAAGTACCTTGCTGCTGCTTATTTCGCCTACCAAATGACGGAATCCTAGCGCACTTCTCTATCTTGAGCAAGTCTAATCTGTTCATCGATTCATCGATGACAGTATGTCACATTTATTATGAAAATGTTCATTTTGAAACTGTTCGATCGAAAGGGGGTCAAAATTAACTTTAAAAATAGAATGAACTTACATCGCTAGCTAGGGTAACAAGAACTCTTGTGAAACCTGTTAAACATGTAGATGACAGGTCAAATTTTGTTGACACGTGGCAGAAGGTTGACACTCCTTCCTATGGAGCTGGGACAAAATTTGGCACAAGGATATAAGCAATATCTTTACTTGAAAAAATGGGTCCGGGCTCAGCTATGTAGTATTCAATCGTACAGCTTGCTGATTCAACCAAATGGATTGATTGTAAATCTTTTCACCTTTGAGGTCATTGGGCCTCTCCAGCACTCCGGCTAGGCGGGGTTATGGTTATTATACATGGGCCCCTAGACCCGCTTATAAGCTGTCGGTTGCTTTTAAGAGTAATGTAAAGATCGTTCCACTGGCAACGAAGGGGCATGGGTCCCATCTCCTTGGAGTTATAAGTTGTGGAGTTAGAAGTATCAATGCCTACCAATGCCTACATTTGTATACATACCTATTAGCCTATCAACATATTAAATGCAAGCTGTTTCATTTTTCTTACATTAGTCTGACTAGGATTAGACTCGGATTGACATGATGATGTCTGCATTCGTTTACGTTTCTTGTTCATTTCGCTGTATTACTAAGTTCTCGATGTGTTTTTTTTTGTTATGGAATGCCTTGAGCGTACAAATGAAATTGAAAAAAGATGGATATATCAAATCTATGCATCCACATTCTTCCATTCAAATCGACAATCTTAACTTCATGAAGATTCTCGAGATACCTTGCTGGTTCTCCATTTCTCCCTCTACCCTCCCCCTCCAACCAAACCGTTGCGTAAAGAAAAGAAGTTGATAAGTAAATAACTTAAGGCATGTTGTGTAGGAGAATAGTAAGAGAGAGGAGTTTTATTAAATTGAGTTCTTCGTTGAAGCATCTCCTTTATTACTTGTTCCAGAAATTTCGGTTTAATCCTCGCTTGTGAGCTACTACTTTAAAAATTTGTTGTTTTTCTTGTAGGCATATTTTTCTCCGGTCACGCTTTGGATGCATCGCGAACCAGATGTTACGACAAACTTCGTGACTATCATGACTGAGTATGGGAAAATGCTTGCCTTGACTCCGGGTCATCTCATTTTCAGGACTGAATGCGAAGGTAGGATCGTTTTGGAAAGCACAAAAGCTGGATCAATGCCATGATTTTAGAATTTTACGATGACAGCGTCAACGAACTTCCAGCGAACCGTGAAGCAGTCTATGCTGAACAGTTAAGAGTGGGCGACTGCGTTTACCTTCTCTACAAGGTGAATTATAAGCTTGATTATAGATAAGGTCCCTTACACTTAAAGGAGAAAATCTTGATGACTTTTTTTCAAAATTTTCCTCGCATCCAATTTATGTAAAGGGTGGCAGCTTTTGATCTCTACATGTCGCACACACCTCTAAAGAATTTCGAAAAAAAATGAATAAAAAAGGACTTTTGTACACTTCGGATTTTCCATAACAAAATTGGATCATGCATTATAGATCTAGATCCTTCATGACGTTGCCAAATATAAGATTTTGAAAAAGTCTTAGTTTCTCGGAGATAAACTGACGAAGTGTAACAAAACTTTTATTACTTCCCGAAAGTTGGGTGTTCATGATCTTGAAAGAATTTTCTGGAAATGAGAGGCCATATTTTCAGGACGGTTTCCGAAAACAAAAACTTCAAGATATTTCTATAACGCAGCGACGCGGAGTTTATTCCCCGCTGACATTGAACGGGAGAATAATCGTCAACGATATGTTAGCTTCATGTTATAGCGATGTGAATCACCCTTTGCTGCAAACTTCTTATTTCATGGTAAGCAACATTCAATCTTGCATCTCTCAAACTTGGATGGGAATTATGTATAAAATTTGCTTGGTGACGATGCTTCATTTCCTGTAAAATTCCAGTTGTTGGATGATATTCGGAAAGAAATTTCTGCACTGTTTGGCTCTTGGTCGGACTCATGGCTCAATCAAATGGTGAGTGGTTGATTTTTATGAAAAAATAAGTAATCAATCGTTGTTTAGATCGATCGTCCGTTCGGTTCTCAGATCTCCAAAGAAATGTTCAAGCTCATCATGCCGTATGCCTCATTATGAATTCTAAGAGTTTATAAACTTATTTCACTACGAAATTACTTGTTTGCAAGAAGATGTCTATTGAACACTAAGCATTTTTGCTGCAATTTCTATTATATAACTATCTATGTTCAAATGCTGGCAAAAGGATAGTCTGCAAACCATGTAGTGAATGATTAGTCCTTGATAATTATTGCCACTCGACAAAATCTCACGACTGTTAGCTGCTCCATTTCTAGAGCAATGTTTCATCAAAGTTTTGCAATTTTCACCAGAATTTTTTTGACCATGGCGATTCTTTGACATAATATGGCGCCAAACCTAGATGTGGTTGTGGGCAGCCATGGTCTGCCGAATTCTGCCACATGCGAGGGACAACAGAGCACTAAGGAGGCAAATATATAACTCGTCAAAAATCCGAAAGAAACTCTGCCGAGAGGTATTATTTCGACATATAATATTGTCGTTTCCTCAGATTGGACGGGGCATTCGGACTTGCGGACCTAACGACCACACTAGTGTTGTAAGATAGGGTAGATCGTAGATTTATCAAGTCCGCAATGCTGCGCCCAATCTGCCGCTGGGAGAGAGTGGTACTCATTTCTTGTAGGCCTTTCTTGTTGGATGATAGTGAAGACGTAATATGATTTTTCACCGTGATAGCCGAATATGATGTTCGCACTCAGCAAGTCAAATCATTGCTGTGCAAAGTCACTTCGAAATCTAAAAATTGGCCCTTCAGTATAAAATATTTCCGAAAAAACTAACGCATTGCTACTCGTTCCACTTCTCAATGGCGCTTAACCTTGATGTGTCTCAAACTTCCATAAATTTTTTCACTGAGACTATGAGTCACAACACATTATTTATGGTTTCGGCATTTGCTCGATTCCTCTGCATTATCACCTCAAAAACGTAATCTTAAACTTCAAAAGTTTCCAAAATTTTTTTTGTCAGTTGGTTACAGAAAATTTCGTTTCGGCGTGCAACTTTAAGCGTTGTTTAGCCGAGGTTCTTGTAAGGGAGTAGTTTCTACTATCACATGGTCGTTATATGAGGTCCTTCAACAGAATTAGAAACAGTGACGATCTTACATAGGTAATTTTCCAAAGAAAACGCCATTTTAACGTTCTAATTTCCGTTTTTGAGCTATAGTGAGTAAACGGGTAACAAAGTGATTGCACACCTACAAAACTTGGCTACATGGCGAAAAACAATGACGATTGCGACTTGCTGCCATCTGCAGCCAAAAATACGAGAATTTTGAGGCACTTGCGCGTAGAGATCAGTTTTTGGGCAGTCCAGATCGCTTAAATTTGTAACGTAAGGATGTGAATGGTCGCAAAATCAAAATCATACTGTCCCATATGTACATTCTACATCCAATTTCAGTTTTTTTGTTGCATGATTTTTCGGAGATCTGGAGAAAAAAGTAGGTTTCCCACTTTCCTGCACCCTTTTCTTCATCAAAATAAAATAAATTCTGCTCTAACATAGACCTTTCAATTTTCCTTGATTTACTATTTCCGTTTTTACCACACAGTTATACGAAAATATATCTGTCATCAGTACTCACTTAAAAAGGATCCGCATTATTTTTTAGCCATCCTAACATTTTATCAAAAAGCAAACGATGTGTGCTTTTCTGTAGCTCACAACATAACCTATATAATACTGGAATTTGAATGCACCGATTACGAAAGGAGGAAAACCATGAAAAAAGTGCAGAAGTCGATTGCCAACCTAATAGTAAGCGAGGTAAAGCAAGTGAGACTTGGCTCACCGCACATCTTTGTAAAAAAAATCGAATCTAGGTATTTCCGATAAAATCTAAATCACATTGATTTACACAGCACTTGAATACAGTTGCCATATGCACTAAGCTAATGATGACATTGGTCGACAAGGCGGTAAATTGCACTTCAAGTAATGCTTGATGTTGTTCAATTCAACAAAATGCATTGCAGTCAACACAAGTACCAAGTAACAGGCATAAACAGTTCTCTTTGTGTAACAATCACATCATGTTCTGAAACAGTCTAGTAAAAAATTTATATCGAATTTCTCTCTACAATGACTTATCCCCAAAATCCGGTGTTGAAGCCGGTCTGATACATATTAAAACTGGAGCTCTGACTGTATCCCCATGAATTACCGAAGGCATTACCGCTGAATGGGATTCCCCAACCAAACTGTCGCTTTAGGCGTGGAGAACTGTAATGTAAGTTTTGCTTGGGCAATATATACTACATGAAGGAATTATGAAACTTACGGAGCATCGAAATCGGCAGCGACGGGCACAAACTTTTCTGCGAGCATGACTGGGGTAGCATTAATATAGATGACGGTTGCAAGGAGAAGCAGAACTAAAGCTCGAGACATGGTGTTTGAGCATGGAACCCTTCCCATATAGTTTTTATAGAGGGCAAAACATTTGTTAGACAAAACAATTGGGGAACCAGTTTTTTGCCCTATCTGTGTGGCAAGGTGAACATGTTCCTTGTTTTGAAGGCTGTATTGGAAAGAAAACTGAAGTGGTTTTGAGTCATTATATATTCATTTTTGATGCCAGACTTGACATTTGAAAAAAATCTCGATTTGACTGGCTTACCAGAAGCCTGAAGTGCTTGCCTGAGGTCATTGTAGCCTTTTAGAATGAGACGTGCATGAAAATGCTCTTCTCAAATATTGTAATATAGTAAATGCAAACCGCTCGCCATCTGCAGAGAAACCTTTTGAAGAAAGTTATAAACATTTCTTAAAATCAAATTTGCATCGTTGCTGACTGCCAAAACGTGTGGGATATTACTCTAGTCTATCAAGTCTAAAAGATTCAGTATACAATATTCATTGATGATGATCGCGGCATAAAGGGCCGGCATACATGCATTTCATCGCCTCACGATTCTCCCAAAAAGGCACTAGTACAAGTCCACTGCATGGTGGTCACCTTGCATTTCGGTTGTAATCGCCCAGACTATTCACCGGAACTGCGCAAGACAAGCAAAATTTGCAGCTATTCCGCAGGATTCTATTTACTACTACAAAAGTGTAGACGTCAAATAAAGGGAATTTCCGCAGGATTTTCACGTCAGATTAGTTGAAAACCGAAAGTTCCGCTGAGCTTCTTACAAAGTGTTGCGCAACTTCCGCAATATGCCAGCGACTCCGCAGCGCTTTGACTTGCCAGTACTTCCGCAGGACTTTGAATGTGTTGTCCAGTATGATGTATAGTTCCGCAGGATTTTGAAGAAGATCCTGCAGAAATTCCGGTTTTCAACCAGTTTGGCTTGAAATTCCCGCAGAAGTTCCGATTTTCAGAGTTTTCATTTTTGCAATAGTGAACAAAATCCTGCGGAACCTCTGCAAATTTGGCTTGCTCTGCGGAAGTTCCGGTGATTTGTCTGAGTAGTGATACAACGCGATGGTCTATCCAAACATAATACTTCCAAAGTATAAATTTACGCTTTTTGACGGTTTTGACAGCCTAGTAGTACCACCGCATTTCAGTGGAAAAAGATGCTAGCAATTTCTTCGAGAGGTCATCTTGCGCTAGTTAGATTTGAAATCAGCATTCTGGGAAACGGGCAATTCCATGTCATCTCATGTAGAAAGGCCAAATAACCTCGGGTACTTTCCTACTTAGATTATGAGATTTCAACGTAAACTACTTTGGAAGTATTATGCTTGAATAGACCATCACGTTGTATCACTCAGACAAATCACCGAAACTTCCGCAGCACGTTTACTGAGCTCCCTGGGGTGATCCGGCGTTCCGATCATTTGTCTGAGTACACAGACAAATCACCGGAACTTCCGCAGGACAAGCCAAGTTTGCAGAAGTTCCGCAGGACTTTGTTCACTGTTGCAAAAATGAAAACTTGAAAATCGGAACTTCCACGGGATTTTCATGCCAAACTGGTTGAAAACCGGAACTTCCGCAAAACCTTTTTCAAAATCCTGCGGAAATTTCGAAAAATGCCAGAGGTTCCGCAGCACTTTGGCCTGCCAGATTTTTCGCAGGACTTTGAATGTGTTGCCTCGTAATTTTGCCTCGCCAACAACTAGAGTGCATTATCGAACATGTCGGCCGTACTGTAGAGGACAGTAGGTGGGTCTCAAAGTCAATAGAGTGAGCTTCAAATCTCGCTTCGGTATTCTCTTTTGCTGTTGTGATGGGCATTCTTCGGAACTTCCGCAGGACCTCATTTCGGAAGTTCCACGGCACGTTTGCGGATCTTCCGCAGGTGACCCAGCGGGGCTTCCGCAAGCGCTCTGCGGAAGTTCCGGTCATTTGTCTGAGTAGGATAGTATAATAATTTGTCATTAGTTAGAGATCTTGTGAACCAAATTTAAAAACTTTGGGCAACAGCATCTCTACTTACCACAGATCATGAGGTGTGCTATATATTTCACCAGTGCGTCACCTCTGCTTCGCAGAGGCCCGCACTGGCTCCACTATCTAGGCCCTACTCATTCTCGCATAATGATGGCATTGGAACTCACCGAGCAATGCCGACTATCACGAACAAAATGTAAACAACTACTCATTCCGAAAGCTTTTTATTTGAAATCGGTGATTTCGCATGGATGAGACTTTTTGCAGGAGAACAAACGCAAATTTTTGCAGGTTTTTGATTTTCCCATGGACTTGACAGTTGCAATAAGAACGGCAGTCACGTGTGCTAGGTCTTTGTGCAAAAATCTCGTTAAATACTCTGGTAAAACTAGCAAATTGACTATTTATGCAACCAATATTTTTGGCGCCGTTTCTCTGAAGTAATACACTTTTGATCACTTTTTGGGTCTAAGTTCATGGTTTGCACTTTTACTTGGCATAAACATCCACTACTTTGCGAAAAGTGGAATTATGGACCCAATTATGCTGCCCAAATGCAAAGTGGATCCGTTTGACGCGCAGTTTCTGAGGGATCCACTCAACGAATCTGCTCGTGCTTTTGCATGTTGGACTTTCATGCGGGTAGCATGCGCTGTGCAAAATTTGAGCCCAGGAGGTTGGCTGGAACACACTCTACGAACTTCGTAACAGACACACTCTCACACAGACACACAGACACACAAAGTCACGTAAACATCCTTAGCCCATTATTATAAGTTACCAGTGCGTCACCTCTGCTTCGCAGAGGCTCGCACTGGCCCTACTTTCTGTTTGCCTTACTCATTCCGGCATAATAATGACATTGATCCTTACCGCGCTATGCAGGCTATCACGAATGATTTGTAAACCACTACTCATTCTGAAAGATTTTTTGTATGAAATCGGTATCTTCGCTTGGATGAAACTTTTCCGAGAAGAATAGATGCAAATTTCAGCCGGTTTTTGGACTTTTTATGGTTTGTAGTCGCCATAACGACGATGGTCACCATGGGCTACAGCTTTGTGCAAAAATCTCCTCAAATAATTAGGTAAAATCTTAGCAAATTGAACGTTTACGCAACTAATTTTTTTTCGGCGCCATTTTCGTAAAGTAATCAACTTTAGTTCAATTTTTTGGGCTAAAGTCCATGGCTTGCACATTAGCTTGTTAATTATTTCCATGAATTTGCAAGAAGTGGTGGTACAGTCTCAATTTTGCTGGTCGGAAGCCAAGTGGATCCGTTTGAAGCGCTATTTTTGAGGGATACACTCAACGGATCCGCTCGTGCTATCGCATAGCGGACTTTCATGCTGCTAGCATGCGCCGTGCAAAATTTGGACTCAAGAGGTTGGCTGGAACTCGCTCTGCGAATTTCGTAACGGACAGACAGACACACGTACAAAAAGACGTAAACAACCCTTGGCCCGTTATCATAAGTCATGATGATAAGAAAAACACTATCTAAGCAAAAATCATTTTGCCCTTTCAAATCGCGATACTTTGCAAGTAGTGCATGACCTTGTAAGACTGTTCAGCCTAGTTTGCATCGGATTATGCCAATATTACGTAGCCAGCACGAGGATCTTCTCATCACATCACTGGCCCAACGCGTTTCGAGTACTCGTCGTCTTCCGAGGCCTTGGTGAGGGATTAATGATCCTGTGTCTGGCCCACCAAGTGCTTCATCACCGCTCGGTTAGTCTCAATTCCCATCGACTTACATGTAGCAAAAGTCGCAGTATGGGAGAAGACGAACACACCTTTGCTCCTTCGCCGGTCACTTGATGGTAGTGCGACCGCATCTTTGGTGATAGTAGTGCCAATGAATTACATCAAGCAGCTCACTTTAGGTTAAATAACGCATTACTCTATCATAGCTTCACAATGATAAAAATGTCATGAAGTCATTCATGACGACTACCAAGGGAAGGATGATCGGTTGAAGTGGCCTTTTGGAATGAGCTCTGTACTAGGAAACCCTCCTTGGTGAGGCATTCTCAAAACCACTTTTTCTAGTTGCCGAGCGGTTTTGTGAGGGGAGTTATGAGGCCATTTTCTCCGGCACCAGCATGAAAGCTCACTATACAAAAGCATGAGGGGATCCGTTAAGTGGATCCATTGAAAATTGCGCGTCAAACGGATCCACTTGGCTTCTGGCCAGCAAATTTGGGTCCGTAGTACTACTTTTTGCAGAGTTAAGGATATATTGGCAAGCTAATGTGCAAGCCATGGACGTTAGCCCAAAAAAGTGATGAAAAGTCTACTACTTTACGAAAACAGCGCCAAAAAGCATTTGCTGTGCAAACGGTCAATTTTTCAAAAAATTCTACCTGATCATTTGAGAAGATTTTTGCACAGAGATATAGCCCACTATGTTTGTTGTCCTTGCGGCGACTACCAAGCCATAAAAATTCCAAGAGCCCATTCGAATTTGCATCTGTTCTTCTGGGAAAGATTTTATCCCCGCGAAAATACCGATCTCACATGGAAAACCTCTACGAATGAGTAGTTGTTTACGAATTATTCGTGATAGCCTACATAGCGCGGTGAGTTTCAATGTCATTATTATGCGTGAATGAGTAAAGCATACAGAAAATAGGGCCAGTGCGAGCCTATGCGAAGCAAAGGTGACGCACTGGTGTTATAATAATGGATTTAAATAATATATTAACACTTATAAATACAACCACGAAATGTTCAAGCAAAAGGGCTTCTCGCAGCGCGCAATTTGGATAAAATGTACACAATTATAGAAGATTATAGCTGATTGTAGAAATAGTGACTTTTTGCAGTGGATAGCTTGTTTCAAGTGCATAGCAACGAGTATTTCTCGTTTACTGTCACCCAATAGACTTTTTACAAAACTGCAAAACAAAATCCCAGCAACAGGATCTGAACCTTTGACCACTTGCTTCACAGTCCGCCGTTTTGTCACTGCGCCACTGCCACACTAGCTGCATGGTTTTAGCGCCTCGCCCATTAGGAGGCGCACCTTCCGCGCCG